TCAGTAAAATGAGCTTAGTTTTCTCACTGGTCAACCATCTTTGGGTATTTGTACATAGTTGGAAATGCTTCATGATTGTAGACACGGCTTGAGACCATCTGCTGTGAAGTGCCCACCTTTCTCCTGCTCTTTGCAATGTTGCTACTGTTGGGGGCCCTCCTCCCATCACGTTCCAGCAAGGGGGACGCTGCAAGTTTGTGTGACCTTAGCACTAAATTCAGACAGCAGGATTTACTTTCTATAATGATGTCAACTGATTAGGTTAGCGGGGCTGGTGCAGCCACGATAAGACGTGACATGTTCTAATGATTCACTTTAACAGGGGCACAGGAGCAGTGAGGAGGAAGAGGCAGGAAAAGCAGGGGGCCCATAGGTGCCGACAAAGACTTTGACCTTTGCTGCTATAATATCAGTGTTTCACAGGCCAGGCGGTTCGGTAACCCACTTCCAGACCATCAAAAATTGATTTAATTGCAATTTCCCCCCCAATTTGGAGCGCTGGAGCTTGACTAATTGGAGTAATAGAGAGTAATAAGGCTCTGATTAAAAAAAAGCTTTCCTCTGCCTCCTTTTGTATCCTGTGTCATTGCCTGTCAGAGGTCAGGGAGCTTGCATATTCTATTAGGCGGAGTTGCCTTCATTTGGACAAATTAGTTTACCCAACAGTAATTAAAATGCCAATGTGGGTCGGGAAGAGCTGAATGCAGTTGATGGGCACATTGGTGAAGGATTTGACAGCTTTGGTGGCCGCCCTTGCCAGAGCGTGTTGGTGTGGACTCAAAAGCTGCAGAAGTTTGGGTCTATGTGGCTAGCACAGCTCTGTGGTTGAAAGAAGCTCCAGCAAAATGACCTTCTCTTTGGTCTGTCTTCTCTACCTGCTCAGTTCGTCTTGTTTTTCCTTCATGACACTTGGGCTCATTCTTCCCTCATCTCCAGACTTTCTGTCCCAACCAGACTGCCCCCAGCTCCTCTGCTATATCCTGTAATTTCCCACTTGCAGAGCTGGGAGTGGTGTCTTTGTTTCTCGGTTTGATGATTCTCCATGTAGAATAATTTCCAAAATGTGGTAATAACATCCAGTTTAAAGGCTATAGGAATGGGAGGAAAGGCAGAGATGCAAGCTTATATTTGTCAGCCAGATTCTGGAGTCCAGCATGTAAATAGTGGTGTTGGTCTCAAAGGAAGCTATTGGTTTATAGAGTAAATCTGGGTAACATGGAAAGGATAGAGAAAATGTTTAATTTGGTAAATCTGTAGGGAAGAGACATAACAGCACAATATACACTAGTTCTGAAATAAATGTCAGTCTGGAAGTCAGGTGTAACTATCTGCTGTGAGCATACTCTTTTGACGCTGCTGTAGTTTAAACTGATTTTGATATGTGATTGAGTCAGGGAAATTTTTCATGTTGCTATGCTTCAAATTTAGTTGTTGTACCTTCCAGCAGGCGAGGAATGCCTTCACTTGATAAAGCTGCTACGTACCAAACTGGATTATTTTAGTGCCATTCCAAAGTAATTTAAAGGTATGGTTGAGGTGTAGTATGCAACGATATATGGCATGTAGCAGCTGCTTCATGTGAATAGCCTGACACAAGGCAGGAGTTTCCACACTTCTGGGCTTTGTCTGCATTAATGCTTAGAACAAGAGTGGGGAGTGTGTGGCCCTCCAGATGGTGTTGGGTTGCAACTTCCATCAGCTATAGTAATCAGAGCCAGTGGGATCATGGAAGTTATGGTTCATAGACATCAATACATCCATATCTTAGAAGAAATAGATGTAGCAACTCCCTTCTAGCAAGTGCTGAAAACATTTCACCTGCTTTTTTTTTTTGACAAATCTTGCGTACTTGTAGTATATTGCATATCTAGGATTATATATACGGAGTAGAATCCATTGGTGCTCTTGTTGCTGTTGGGTGCATAACCAGACACTTCATAAATTAGCTGCAAATTCCATGAACCTTATGTGAACACCAGTAGGATACTGGCTACTGTGTCAAAATGTCTCACCAGTGTATCAAGGTAGTCCAAATTCTGTGCTCAAAATTTCAGTATGTTTTCTTAAAAAATTCAAATTTAGATCTTCAGAGAATTTGTAATTGTTTGTCATGTGCTGGAGGACAATGGAGGGATGGGGGGGAGAGAGAGAGACAAGGAGAAGTAGCCGTAGGAATATGACGAACACTACTTTCACCATTTGAAGATTTCTATATTCAGTTTTTAGGCTGTGCCAAATATCTAATAAAACTCTTTGTCAACTCTTGGGATAGAACTACAGGTTCTAAAAATGAGGTTTCTAAAAATGAGCAGATTCCTGTGATTTCTTGTTTTAGTTATCAAATTTATGAGATTATCCACATGTATGATAATCATATAGATGTGCAGTTTATGTCCAGATCTTTTGTTTTCTTTTGGCTGATGCTAAGAGCCTTATATACTATTCATTTAATGACACATTTTTCTTTTCATTCCATTTAAACACTTCAAAAACTTTACTTTGTTCCATTCCTATCATAGTCCTGTATGGTCACTATTGTTTCATCACATTGTAGACAGGGCGGGAGCAGGTTGTGGCTGAGAAAAGTAGCTTACCAAAGATAGATACTGTAGTTGCTATTTAATGTTATGGCATGTGCTGTCAAGTTGGACCGCCCTATAGTGATCCTAATAGGGCTTTCAAGGTAATGGAGATGTTTAAGAATGGTTGTAACAGACCTTCCCTGTACTGAGTTTTGGTAACCAATAACGATGATGATGATGATGATGATGATGATGATGATGATGATGATGATGATGATGATGATAGTGTGCTGTCAAGTCAATACTGACTTTTGGTGACCCTTTCTAGGGTTTTCCAAGTAGAGAATAGACAGAAGTGGTTTGCCATTCCCTTTTTCTGGGGGCATCCTGGGACTCTGCAACTTGCTCATGACTACACAGGCTGGCTCTTCACCCAGAAGGCACAGTGGGGAATTGAACTCCCAACCTTCTGGCTCCACAGGCAGATACCTAGACCACTGAGCTATTGTGCTGCACAAAGTTATAATTCCTTTTTCTGCTAGTTCTTTATCCTGTAGGTTTCTTCTACAAAGAGGCGCCACACTCCTTTGTTAGAAAATGGAGCTTAATAATGGAGGTGCACCAGACTGCTACTCTGGAATGATGTTTCAGAAATTTAACCCTATAGATGTTCCCATTATTCCCCACAACAATAGTAGTAAAATCATTTTAATATTGAAATGACATAAAAAAATACTTAATTTTTTTGTTGTCAGCATTAGAAATATTCCAATTATAAGAACTACAGATTCTCTTCTTGAATAAGATGGCAGTTTGAATTGGTGAGTTAGGATCTAAGTAGCTGGAGGGAACTGATGCTAAGCTAAGGAAGAATTTGGAAGCTGACTGCAGAGAAATTTCTAATCCCTACCACAGACTGACTTGGAGGCTGTACAGGCAGAATGGCAGGGATTAGTGCTGGTGGTCTCCACCTACTTCTCTTTTCCTATTGACATACCTTGATGCTAATTTGAACCTGTGCAGTCTCTGGAGGGATGCTGCATACCTTCTTCTGAAAGATGTGTGTGTGTGTCTGTGTAGAACAAGGGAGTGGGGGCAGAGAGAAAGAAAGAAAGAAAGAAAAATCTTAAAAACCCAATTGCCCACTTCAGTGATTTCCAAGCTGCTATTATGTTTCTAACCACGGTAATTGGCTTTACCATTTATTAATGGCTTATGGTAAAGTGAAGGGGGGTGGGAAGAGACAAAACCCAGCATCAACCTTTGTAGTTCTGGGCTCCATTGACTGCAAGACTACTTGCTGACTTGGGAGTCACTTGATGTGCCGCTCTATACTTAAGAGCTCCTCCATATTCTGACATCTCATATTTCATATAGTTCATGAGGTATGGAGTGGATCCTTGTCTCTAGTATCAGGTAGGGAACCTGAGCATCCAGTTTGTTTGGGTAAGAGAACATGTTGCTGGTAAATGCATAGTCACAGGGAGAAATCAACCACCACCAGTTTTGCTGTTCCTCAGTTTTAAATTGACACAACTGAAAATAGCATATTGTGTTAAGAAATTTTCCATTAGCTAGAATTTTATTAGTTACACTAGAATTATGCCATTGGAAGAAATCCTAGCTGAAAATAGCAGCATGTTAAGAAGTCAGTATAGGTATTTGGAGTTGCCCAACCTTTGTGTGACTTGGTGCGCAACAACATGACTTCTTAACTTGTAGCAATTAACTGGCTCTCTTTTTCTCTCTCTCGGTTTGTTTATACGCTCATTTTAGAGCAGGCTGGATTGGACAAAATAGGGTCACTAGGATGTCTGGTATGCCATGTGTTCTGATCCTTACATCCATATGGCATATGTATCTTAAAAGATCCCTCTCCCCCAGCCCTTGGCTACTTTAAGGCCAGTTGCCAAGAGAGAGAGAGAGAGAGAGACAGGAATTTTCTGCTGTTAATTAATGATTATTGAATGAGCTTGACTGTCCAATAATTATGCTAATATTATAAATCTTACTATTGAAGCAGTATAAACCATTTTAAACAATGATGCAAATTAGAGGAAGTTTCAATATTGTTTGTGGCTGCATGGATAATCTTGATGGATTTTGCAGGCACTTGCTTCATCCATTGCTTCATCTAAAGAAAAAAAAGGGATATAATGATCAAATGTTCCTGTTGGCCCTTTGTGACATCTTGTATATCACATTTTTGTGTGAACAACTGATTTTATGATATTTGTGTTGTTATACTAGAGCCTATGTAAACAGAGCACATGTGTTCCAGTGCCTTGGCTTAGATTGCTGAACCATCAGAGACATAACTCAGGCTGGGTGCTTTTGCTTGCCTGTTGTGCTGGGGAAAGAGGACATAGAATCTCTGTGTAATGATCTCTCAAGTCCCAGCAACTGCCCTCTACCTAGTTCATCTCCTTTACTAATGATACAAGAAAGAAGTCTGATGTTTGTTTTCTCCTTTGACAGTTCATTTGTGACCGGAACAGCATGCTGTGGACATACCTCACCCTTGAGAATCTGGGATTTTGCAAGGTAAGCATCCCAACAGATGTAGTAGAGAGTGATAAATAAGAAAATCTGTGAATGAAAAGAATGCCTCTGGAAACCTGTGACTTGGCAGTCAATGTTTGCAAAATAAAAGTAGATGAGACCTGAAATAATCTAGTTCAATTCTGTAAATGGAATGCCCAGTGTAAATCCTTAATTACTGAGGTGCTCTTAACATATCCACCTAATTTACTGAATAAATGTCTATATTGTCCTGGACAGTTTCCTCCACTGACTAGGTGTTCTTTGTAATTTAGAGATGTTTCCTAAATTTGACTCAAATACATCTTCTCACAACTTAAGCCTATTTTCTCTTTTGCTCTAATGGGAAGGAAGGCCAAATGACCTCATGGGTATCTTTGTCTTCCTCTCAAAGATCATGCAATGTAGTCATGGATTTTCTTAGCTGGAGATGTGAGTTGATTGTTCCTCTTTTGATATATGTGAGAACCTGATGGTTCTATCAGTCATTGGTGGTAATAATGGTCCAGTGTAACATAATTTGGGGGCCAAACTAGATTGTTGAAAAGGCTTAGACAAATAAAAGTTTTTCAACTGGTACTGAAAAGAGAATGAAGACTGCCTGGTGACTTTCCTTGGGGTAAAAATACCAAAAGTAAGGATCACAGATTAAAAATCCTTGTGTTTGATTATTGCTTGTCCTACTTTAGATGGTGGAAGGACTTGAAACAGGAACTCAGACACTGATAATGTTCAGATCCATGTCAGTCTTCTTGCCTCAAGCGGTTTTGAACTTTATAGGGCTGTGCCTGGGAATTCTCTGTGGGAGAGTTTTGTAGAATTACAGAAGCCTACAAAGTTAGAGCAACAACATTGATTGAACTCTGGTCCGTTATTACTATTTCTGTTACATGCCTTGTGCATACATAAATGTACAAAATTATCCTGACATCAAAGAAATAGGGCCAATGGAGTGATAATTGAAAGAAACATGGTTCATCTTTATTAAGCCTGTTATCCAGTGAGACTTATAAGAAAGGAAATTCCAAGGAGATTATTATATCTTACAAAACCTTTCCATATATAGGGCGTGATTCGTTATTGTATAAAGGTCAAAATCCTCTTGTGTAGTTACACCAGCATAACACAAATAGCATAAATTTGGGAGGCTAATTCTCTCAAGTGAAGAAATCACCATAAGCATTCCCTGTTTGGTGTTGAGTCACACAACTCAGTGCACAACAGATAATATCTACAGTGTTGTTGTTGTTTTTACCTTGAGGCAATTTACTTCCTAAAGTTATGCCATTTAGTTAGGATGGCATAACTATGAAAGAGGATTTTGACCTGTGTTTATTTTCCTGAGAATGTGTATAATCTTGTGAAAACTTTCTTTTTCTAAGGAGACTTGCTTACCTTCAGTTGTTTTTGAACAGCTATAATCTCTCTCTCTCCTCACTCTTTCCCAACTATTGACTTGTCTCCTTCTCTGTAATTACTGATATGTAAAGGGTTGCCATCCTTAACTTTCTGTTCCTGCCAAAGTACAAGGCTGTTGGAATAATTTCATTAGCCAATGGTCTGATTTTTTCCCCTTGAAATAAGACTAGAGCAGGGGTGGCAAACCTTTGGCATTTCAGATGTTTTGGACTTCAACTCCCAGAATCCCTGGCCTGTATAGCGATGGATAAAGGACTGGAAGTCGTCGTCCAAAACATCTGGAGTGCCAAAGGTTCACCATCCCTGTACTAGAGCCTACATGCACCAACTTCTCATCTTTACTTGGTAACTCTACATATTTTGAATATACTGTATTGGCTGAAATTCTCTTGATTAGTATAGTAAGTTGTAACTAGAGAAAGACCATTCAATCAATGGGGAATTTGGTGAGTCAATTTCTTTGTAAGTTCCATTGATTCAATAGGCCTATTCTAATTGTGACTAACTATGCTAACCAGCAGGGTTTCATCTGTTATATTGTTTAGTTACTGGGCTGTTTAAATTGTAATTAATAAATAATTCAGATGTTTGGGGGACTTTTTTCCTTCTGTTAGCGTTACATTTCTTTGTAAAGTGTGAATGGACTGGGATGTGTAGGTTGGAGTCTAGTGCTGTCTGTGTAATATTACAATTTGTATGTGTGTGTGTTCTGTGCCATCAAGTCAGAACCGGCTTACAGCAACTCTAATAGGATTTTCAAGGTAAGTGAAATTTATCAGTTCCACTCCCCCAATGAGTTTCTGTGGCCAGCTAGGGATTCAAACCCTGTCTTCCAGAGTCCTAGCCCATCATTCTATCCACTGCACCACACCGTGAATCTCTTTGTATAGTGAACTACATTTTGAGTTTTAATAACTGACAAAATTTCTGTATTCTGCCAGGAAATTTTGCAGCAGTACTTGGATGTCCACAGAAAGCTTTCTGCATAGCAGTGTTCATATATGAGATTTTTATAATGTCTTGACAAATTGGTTTTATAATGATTTGACAAAATGGTTAGCTAATTGACAATCTCAGAGTTTGGAAGATTACATGTAATGTGGTTCCTGCCTTTAGACTAAAAGCTGAATGAAACTCAGTTTGGATTCACCTCTCTTACAGCCACACCCCTTCTTGTCAGTGAACTTGTCCTGGATTACCTCAAATAGAAGTAGCTCTCAGGAGCAAGTGGGTGTGGCTGTATCACCTTTCCCGCCTTTCCCAAGGAAGCCTCCAAAGATGATAAAGCTATGTATAAAATAGGATTAAGGTAATGAACAGGCAGGATGGAGTTTGATCTTTCAATAAGGCAAAAGCCTGACTGACAGGCAAAGCTAAAGCCTGGAGCCATGCAACCCATGAGATGCTACCTTACAGTGGCTGCTGAGTGTCACGGATTCCTCCCTTTTCACTTGTCACAGTGGAATGCAGTGTGCCACTGGGCTGTCCCTCCCATGCGTGGGCAGGAGTGGGCATTACACTGTTCAGGTGACTTACAGAAACATGTGAACTGGAAGTCTGTACTTGATGGGCCACTTTCAAATGAGAAGTAGGGATTGCAGATAATTGGGCAGTTACAGAAGTAAAGGATTAGAAAGAAGAGTGTGTGTGTGTGTGTGTGTGCCTGTGCATATACACTCACCTGTCTACACCATATACAGTTTATACTTTTCAAAATTCTTCCTGTGTTCCTTTCTTCACTCAAGAGTTAATGCACATTTTGTGTTCTCTTATGAGACCACCTTTCAGTCTTCATATTGTCCAGAGATGTCACTCCTGTGAATAGCAGTAAGCATTTGCCCCATACAGCTCTAAACCCAGTTACTGAACTCAGTTACTGAACTTTTATCTCCTTGCCTTTCAGTTGTTTTATCATGCAGTGGATGAGACAGGAACTAAGTCCTAACTAACTTAGCAATTCCCAGAATTAAAGCATTTGCAGGATCAAAGGGGAATATTATCTGACCACTTCCATATCTGGGGAACATTTAGACCAAAGTATTTTGTGTATGTCCTGGAGTAGACTCTTCAATGTTTTATTTCAAGACTTCATTCTTCTGGCTCATGTGCCAGGTATTTTCTGGTTCTCCCTTCTTTCTTACTTAGCTGATCTTTCCCACGCGTCTTATCCTTCAGCTCCCAAACCTTCTCTTCCTTTTTTCTTCTACTCCCTTAGCTCTTATGCTCTTTCACCTTTTAACACATTTCTCCTTATTTACTTTTTGTCATATGCCAGATACATAGTCCAGTCATGTTTGCATGTTAACGTTGGGATTTAGAAATGATAACTATTACATGGAACATGGGCATCTCCCTTGTGGAGATCGGTTTATTGTACCCACCTTCTGTGCTTTAGCAGTTTTATATTCCTGATACAAAAGTAATTTTGACCATATCAGTTGCTCTATTCAGAACATACATTATTCTACTTTCCCTGCAGAGGCTTGCAGGTTGTGCAGTGTGATCTAAATGCAGAATATTGGAGAAATCCAAGAACTGTAAGAAAGGCATATTTGAGGCATCAATAGGTCAATATACAGTACGTGTATGCATGCACACATACATACTTGTCTCATCTCCATATTTTCTCTCTTCCTCCTTTGGTCAAATGTTGGATGTACAATTGGTTAGATAGATTGATGTCTCACTAATTTCGTGATTGCTTTTGCTATTTACCTTTCACTTGAATCATGGTGGTCCTTTAGGTGCTATTTTCCCAGACAGACATTGAGTGTCCCCCTCCTTCTGATCCATTGGTTCTGGGAACTGAAGCATGCTGCGGAATTGCAGCAAACTTTGTGACTTTACTTGGTTAATAGTGGAATGACCTTTGCTTCTCATACCTTCTGTTTCTATCACTTTGGATGTGTGAAAAGCTGTGTTACACTGTTTGAACACCAAACACCAAAGAATCTTAAGTGAACTTACATGGACTCCTGGGGGATGGGAAACAGATGCTCTTTCTGAAAATTGCTATTTCCTTCCGTGTACACTTTACCATCTTTAGAGAAATGTGGAGGTTTGCTCAAGCTTTACTCTGCCAATATTTTGCCACTATCTTCTTAGGAAAACCTTTGCTATTGTTGCTTGATCAGAGTCCATTATACAGACAGTTTCTTGTCTGTTCAAAAGAAATAGAAAACAGGGAATCCACCCCACCCACCCAGTTTTGGAAAATGTGTTTAGATAGCTGTTTGTATTTGTATCAGATCTGTTTACATCCAGCCAGTCCATTGCTATGAGATTCCCAGATACTGCAGCAACTTTAGCATGTCTACACGAGATTAAGAAAGTTCTAATTATGTTACAGACAGAAAAACCCTGAAAAGGAGAACAACAATTATTGGGTACACTCAGTGTATTCTGGAAGAAAACAAACTAATAAGAGTGTCAATAATAAAAAATGTGGCTGGAAGAGAATAGAGTTCGTGGCTCTTGTTGCGTGTGATATAATAACACCTAGTGTTATATCAAGAAGTATAAGTTACAATAAAGTAAAATAAGAATATACATATTAATGATGGAGTTTTTGTGTTTTGTCTTCT